ATTATATAAAAAATTATAAATTGCAATTCTTTCAGATTAATATGCTGAAAAAGTATATTTATACGTATTAATAAAAATTTATATACTCCTAATTTAATTCTCGAAAAGAAAAATATATTAACTAATATGAGATCGAGAAAATAATTACAATAGTTAGGTTTTAATTTATTTATTTTTAAAATGGTGTGTGGTGGAATACATCATTATTAAAATATTGACCAACCATAGGGATGAATCATGATCTAGAAAAGGCTGCAAAAAAATTACACACAGAATAGGAAAATTGAAAGAGAAGTAGAAGAAAGAGAAGTTAAAAAAGTATAAATATTAAAAATGGAAAAAGTTTTATCGTATAGTGTGTTGGAAGGAACAAGTGTGGGAATAATATTGTCAGATATATATATTTTCAAATTGTTTTTGTAGGACTAGTGCACCCTAAACCCCCACCACTACTTCCATTAAAAAAAATATCTCTAACCATTTAAATTTTTAAATAAAATAATCATGCGTTTTAACATGATATCATATTGAGTTTACGAGTTTTGAAGAAAATATGATTGAGTTTGGTGCTCAAGATTCTGAATTTGAGTCTTATTATCAACTTCTCACTTATTTGACGCATTAAAAAGAGTTAATTTCATGTGTGTGATGCAATAACGAATCAATATTAAATTAGGCATTAGATGCTCAGATTTTGAACTTGAATCTTACGGTCACTTGGAGAAGTTAGAAAATTTTCATTAAAAAATTCAAAAATCTAATCAAACAAAAAAGTTAACAAGATTTAACATCTATTATACTCATACATATATACATATATTTACTTACCCAATAGAGGTTAATGCTCGATAATATAAATTTGATAAATACATTTCTTAACCAAATAAAGTTATAAAGATATATAATTTGGGAAACAAGAATATTAAAAAAAAAAAGTTAAAATAATTTTATTTTATTTTACTTTATGGTGGTCACTGGTCAGCATTCAGCTATAGTAATCAACAAATGAGAGCTGAGTTTAATGGTGCGTGCTGTTATTATTGATGACTTCAATGTCTTCCAAATGTGCCTCGAACTACACATAAAAAAAGTTTTTTTTTTTTTTAAAATAATTAAAAAGAAAGAAAAATAAAGATTTATTTTTATAAGAAACAACAATAATAATAATATATTCGTAATAATTTTATCAGGAGGGTACGGAGAGGATGATGTGTACATGGACTTAGTACTCTTATCCAGGGGCGGATTTATGTTGAACGAAGGGGGAACCCCTTCGTCGAAAAATTACACTATATATATTAGATTAAATTTTTAATGTACATGTATATATATATACTATTGAACCCCCTATACATACAACAAAGGCGTAGCTTAGTGGTGTTGGGGGTTCAGGAATTCGCTCTACTACAAGCGAGGTCGCGTGTTCGAACTTGGGCAGAGACATTTTTTTATCAGCTTATATTTTAGGCGTTTTAATCTTTAAAAATAATAATAATGCAATTAGAAAAACGATGTTTAGTTCCAAAAAAATGAAAATGCTGATTGGGAATTTAGGATTTATTAGTTTAATCCCTAATTATAAAGTCAAATATTAAAAACCCCTTTTCTTCTTGATTTGGCAGTTTAATCCGATCCGTTTATTTGTGGATATTATTTACATGATTAATTTTTTTTGAACCCCCTTGATAAAAATCCTCCCTCCGCCACTGCTCTTATCTTGTGAAGGTAAGGAATTTGTCGTCGATTGACCCTCAAATCAATTAAAACATACCAAAATCACTATGTGTACATAGGCTTAGACCTTCACTATATCAATTATTGTTTTCTTAATAGGTGTGATTATTTAAAAGTTGACAAGTAATTAGAGACAGAGAGAGTAATAACCTTCTATCTAGCTTAATCTTCGACTTTCATATCCTCTCATCTAAGTTCATGTCATAGATAAACTATTGCAGCTGAATCATGTCTTGTCTAATCACATATTTTCAATATTTTTTTTGGCATACATATACGTTTCTTCATAGGGGCACTCGTGCATCTCTTGTTTATATGTATGCACCATTTCTGTCTCACCTTCCTCATCTTATCAATTATCAAGGTCATTCTTACCTTATATCGTATATCTTCATTCTTAATTCAATCACCCTTAGCTATACGTTCACATATTCATTTTAACTTTCTCATTTTATCTTCTAAACATGCAATTCTTAATCGAACAATATTCTGATTGATAATATTAGTGTTTCTTAATAGGTGAAACTTGACGTGTTCTTTAAAAAATATATATTAATATATTACAATTTATAAGAAGTAATTTATTATTACTTATATTGACGTTGTATATAACTTAAACAATATTTATGTTATGGCACAACAATAAAAATAGTTTTTATGGCAATGAATATGCACATTACCAAACAAAATCTAAAACTTTTACTGACATTAGTTAATTGTCATCTGATCAAATGTCACTATGAACTTTAGGAATATTTATAGAAAATGCTCTTTGCCATTAATAACAATTAAGTTATTATGTTAATTAATTACTGTTTAAAATCATTTTAAATATATTGTGATTGAATGATTAATGAGAACAGTAGTAATTAATATTGGCAGGAAAGTCATGTGCCTACCAGAAACTCCTACTATATAGTATTATTCAATTAATTAAGTTATTATGTTAATTAATTACTGTTTAAAATCATTTTAAATATATTGTGATTGAATGATTAATGAGAACAGTAGTAATTAATATTGGCAGGAAAGTCATGTGCCTACCAGAAACTCCTACTATATAGTATTATTCAATTAATTAATTTCTTAGAGATTTATGTGTTTGTTGTATGCATGTGTTATTTACACTTTTTTGACTATTCTACCAACTTGCAACCCCCTCGAAATTAGCTGTGAACAGTCACGCATGATTGTAAGAATTTTGAAATAAGTAGTAGACGATAATCGAGTTAGTTGAGCAAGTGATTACTAAATAAAGAATATTAGATTTATTTTTTTTTACATGTTTTCTCGTTTGAGCTTGTAATAAGAGGCTTGTCTAGTGTAATTTACTTTTCTAGTATGATTTGCGGGACATCATAGTACTTGAGCCAGGGGCAGAGCTAGTAGCCCACATGTTGGTTCAGTCGAATCCATCAAATTTTGCTCAAACAATGTATTTATTTTAGTAAATTCATTAAATATGTATAGTATATATTTAAGATCAAATTATTATCAGAGGCGTATCCAAGGGGGGATCACCGGATTCACGTGAACCCATGTTCTTCTTCCGAGATCATATATAGTAGTGTTATATTTTTAAAAAATTATTGAAATATAGATGTGTGAATCCATACTCGGAGTATCATATAATGTGATGATAATTGAGTGCATCTCTCTACGTGAGGTTAGAAAATTGAATTTTATATTTATCTTGTTTTATTTTTCTTTCTAAAATTAGATAACACCTCTCAAAGTAGTTATTTGTAGCACTTTTGACATTTATATATATAAGAATTAATTTTGGACCTACAGTATTAAAATTTTAACATTTTTTTAGTAATAAGAACCCAAATGTTGAACCGATCAAATTTATATCTTAGATCAACATTTTTGTAATAGTGCACCCATTATCTCGAAATCCTGAATACGCCTCTAAATTTTTTATCACTTAAATTGCCTATCATGTTAAAATCTTAGCTTCACCTCTAACTGAAGCGAGCAATATTTACCTAATACAGATCCGTTTCATAGGAAAAAACTAGTAGTAAAATCTTCTTAACTAGTGTATAGGGTTGGTTTCTGTTACGCAAAGTTTAATATTAGAAGTAAAATACCTTCACTTTTAATGTAACGTTTTACGTGATACAAATTTAAATTAATCGGATTGATAAATATTTATATAAAAAGAAGTGCGCCGCTTATACAAGTGAGTTCCAGTATCTTTTTTCTTTTGTGTCCCTAAAACTTATTCCCCTATAATTATCAAGTACATACAGCTACTTCCAAAACCCTAATTATATTCCCTATAATTAATTATTCTAAAGTATTTTTATATTATATTATAGTAATAATTAAAATAATGGACTAATAGAAACACAAATATGTTTCATTTTCTAACAGCTTTTCTGTTGCACTCTTGCACGCCCGCACTTTTTGATTTAGTTCCCAATGATTTTTGACAGCGTTTTTTTAAAGTTTCAATTAACCTTTTTTTTTTTTTTTGTGTAAAAGAAAAAGAAAAGAACTTTAAATCAAGTACTACTACCTTGAATTACTATAAAATAATTTTTATTTAGTTATATTTTGTTTTCAATGATGACAATTTATGGTTTTTACAAGTTAGAGCAAAACCAAGAAGTTAGTGTAACTGCTATGGTCCAACTGTTAAGTTATTATTCGTTCTGGAGTTTAAACTTAGTTAGATCGCATAGATTTGTCCTTTTAGGTTATAATTCAAATGTCAAAACCAGCTCAACAATTTATTTATAACTCATTCTTATAAGTGAGGATCCCTAACTGTCTTTTTTCATGACATTTGCCTAAAATATAATATGTGTCCCTTACTTCAAACCTTGCTAGTTAACTCTTATTTTGTTTGAAGTAACCTAAATAGTCTTTTACCATTTGAGTGGGATAAGAATCATTTTTTGAGCGATCAACCAATAATAACTTAGATGAAGGCACAAAATTGACTCTCTTTATGTTAGAGTATATCTCAAATTTCACTTGATTCAAAAGAGAGCTATGAAACAAACAAAGTTTAACTAGCTAAAGTGAGAACAAACTATAAGCCAACAATAGCTTCACAACATCCTTATAATTTGAATTAGGACATACTTATAGGTTCAACTGAATTTATTATTTTCGATATGACATAACATGTATGTTGTGTTTGCGTGCTGCGAATCTTTGAAAGTATAAATGTTATATTTCCAAAAATTCATTGCTCTGATAAAAAATTAATTAAGTTTAAATCTTGAATTCACATTCGAATAATATGGGTATTAGATAGGGATATCATGCATAGACTAAGGATACACAAAAAGTCCATTTTCATTACAAGACTATGAGTACAATATGGGAGAGTTTTACAAGGTGTTTTTGGCTAATATATATGATGGTACAATTCAATTAGGGAAAATGCCTTTAGGGATAACAACATCCCCAATGTTGTTGTGCCATGGGTCAGCCAAGTGAGTTGCCAAGTTCTCCAATGGTCCTGTTCCTGGATATGCTGATTGTTGTACACAAAATCCCACAAATGCCAACAATGCAAGACGACCTAACCACAGATAATCATTCATAAAAAGTGAGATTGATATTGTCAGCGTATATAACTTAAAATCCGTAAAAATGAAAATATGAAATGCACAAGAGGAGTGAGTTAATATTCTAACCATTCTTGATTTCCTTGACTTTGAGTTCTTCAAATTTAGCAGGGTCTTTAGAGTAACCCAATGGGTCAAAAGCCCCACCAGGGTACTTCTTCTTTTCTGAATCTTTTTCCATACTCCTTTGATGCTCTACAAAGGCTATGGCTAAAAATTCAATAACCAAAATAGTAGGAAGTGTTCCCCATGGAACAGGCTGGCCCAAATATGTAGCTTGTCCTCCAGGAATAGCTGCCCATTCTTGGGCCTTAACCCAATTACCTAAGCCCAATGCCTCTGGTACAATGATTCCTGGCTGCAAAAATTGTTCATATATAAAATCTATGTTAGAAAATTCAAAATAATATACTCTCTCGTTTCAAAAAGAATGACCTAGTTTCCTTTTTAATTTGTTTAAAAAAGAATGACCCCTTTCATTTTTTGGCAACACTTTAACTTCAACTTTCCACGTGGCATGTTTAAGTCCACAAGATTAAAGGGCATTTTGGTACATTTGACATAACTTTAATTTAGAATCACAAAATTAAAAAGTCTTCTTTCTTTTCTAAAACTCCGTTCCAAGTCAAACTAGGTCATTCTTTTTTAAACGGAGGGAATATATTTTTATGTCAGGGAAATTGGTTACATGTAATGTATAAATCTCTTCTAAAATATGTATATTTTTCTAGCATTGTTTGTCAAAATGTGTATATTTGTATATCTTGCTAGCATTGTTTGTAAATCTCTTCGAGGGTCTTTAGGAAATCACTTCTCTACCTCTCAAGGTAATAGGTTTGTGTACAAACTATTCTCTCCTAAGACCAGACTCCACTTGTGAAACTGCATTGGATTGTTGTTGTTGTTGTGTGTAAATCTTTTCTCGAATGTGATGTATGTCAAAGAGTGGTGAAATCAGAAAATTCGCTAAAAGTGTTCAAGATTAGTGTACAAGTATAAAAAGTTATATTTGACCGAAATATATAGCTAATATAATTTTCCAACCAAAAGATGTTTTGTGCTACTTCCTAGTTAGCTTTTAATTGTCAAAAATCTTAAAGGCAATGAATAAAATTGTTCAAAAATATTACTACATGAACTGTGTAAATATTACAACTTGACTTTTATTGTTTTCAATTCATTTTCCTTTTTAGTAAAAAGAGTTCAACTTCTATGCATTCACATGAGGGCTGAGTGAGAAATGGTTCCCTCTTGCCAATAAACTTTCTCCGACCTTCAATTAACCTTACTCATAAGGGCACCAGAAACATATTATAAGGGTTGTCCATAAAGTGGAATTAGCTAGAAACTAGTAAAATAAAGAAAGTTACCAGCTACAACATGTTAATATACATCGATAATATACAATTATTATTATATATTGTCGATCTATATAAGTTAAATATTTTCATGAAATAGCAAAGCTAAAAAGGAGTATAAGAGAAAAAGAGGCTTACAACAGCAAGCATAGCCCATCTGCAATGAATAAGTTCAGATTCTTTGTATCTTTCCAAATTTTCTGGTACTTCTCCAAAACCAAGTGGATCAAATCCAAAATCTCTGCATTTTTATATATATATATATATACAAAATTAAAACTAGCATAAAAAGAATAATACAAATTTATTGTATAAATCTTCCCTAGTTAAAAATATTCAACAAATAGTCATCCTTAACAATTATTCGATTTTCGAAACAACAAGTGTCATTCCAAAATGATTGATGTCATTCTACTCTTATAACCATCACACATTTCAAAAATTAAGTAATTCAACTTTAATGCCCATCAAACCTACTTATTATATATCAAATTAACATGTTACATATCGTGCTAGATCATATATGTCACGTAAAATGAAATAAAGAGTATTATGTACCCGGGGGCTGAGCCGTCGAGGTAGGATGGACGGGGCTGCCCGGGCATCCAATCGGCCGACATGGTGAACCTTGACGTGTCGTTGGTAACTCCGGCGGATACCGGCAACGCGGTGACGAATTTAGACTTGGAAGCAGAGAGAATAGAGGGGCAAACAGGTGCAATTCCATAACTCATCAATGTGTTAGAAGCCATTTTCTTTTGGTTAATTTAACAAATGTTCAAAAAAATAATTTGGAGATGAGTAGAGAAAAATAGAAAATGGATATGAGAATGGGAAAAAATGGATATGAGAATGGGGAAAAAATGGTGTAAATTGTGGTGAGTATAAGGAAGGAATTTGAGATATAGGCAAATCTAAATGTAGATTATAATTGGTTAAGGAGAATTGTTTGTGTTTTGTGATTGGTCCATGTGGAAGATGAAGTGGATATTTTGAAGGATATGTGATGGTGGTTTTGTGGCTTAGGTTTATCCTAGTTGGAAAAAATTTCAAAGATTTTAAATAAGAAAATTCAATTTCTGTGTTTTTTTGTAGAAGTTTAATTAAAAATGGAATAAGGATGTGTTTCAATTATGTTATTAGACGTACTTATTATTTTTCATCAATATAAGTATAATATAATCTTCTTTATTGAAACTAGATAGATAAAATGATTGATGATGTAATTTAAATTTTAGTCTCTTATAATTTTCACTCATTTTGTTAAGTCATACCATAAATTGCTTAAAGGTTTCTTGCAATTTCACTAGTGAAAATTGACACTTCAGAGCATTGGCTGTTTTTTTAATTATTGAGAGCATGTTGAATATCATAATTTGTTCAGTTTTCATAGTGGTGTGAGGATAGAAAATTGGTCTTTTATATGTGGATAACTCTATCTCATTACATATGAGTTATATTCATTTTAATTCTTTTATGAAATATTAGATTCTATGCTATATTACTCAAACTCTAGTTGTTAGTTTTGATAATGTGATAGGGTATGTGTTGAGTTCTCAAGCTGATAATGTAAACTATACAAAATAATTGTTTGTCATGACGATCAGTTCGATAAGATTCATTCACTAGGCAGTATTTTGAGATGACGTAACTTTAAAAGTGAATGACAGAATTCAAATAAGGAAATATTTTCGTTGAATACAAACGTCACGTTCAGAGACAAAAGAGGGTGTAGTAGCCAACATAATCTTTAGCGAGTTGAAAATAAGCATAGTCCGAAAATCCCCAGGCAATCTTTCTAATTGATAAAATCTGTTCACTCAGTAGCATCTTGAGATTACATAACTTTAAAAGTGAACGACAACATTCAAACAAGGAAAGATTTTCGCTAGATACATTCACCACCCAGAGACAAAAGAGGGTATAGTAGTCGACAAAATCTTTAGCGAGTCAAAAATAACTATAGTCCAAAAATTCTCTAATATAACAATCCTTCTATCTGTTATTGAATTTATGTTGTATGATAAACAAGATTATCCCAATTATAATTTTGAAATTATAGTCCCACCGCCTATTTATATGAGATAGATAAAATCTTAATTGAGTTATATATTATCTTGATTTTAGTTAATTATACCTACGGACAAACACCAAATAAATTTAATCTCAAATTTTATATTGTGATACTCTCTTAATTTCGATAATTACCGAGCGGTCTCTTAAGTTTGTTTGAAACAAAATTATTCTATACATGTGTTAATAAGAGACAATTACACACACATGGTGAAAAATTATCATAATGTGTGTAAACTGATTCTAACGCCGTCATCATTAAGAGAAAAAAACTTAATTCATTCTAATACATAACATATGTATACATAAATTTCTCATTTTGTCAAGTAAAAGTATTTGAAATTTATGTTTAGAAAAATAAATTGAATTTAGCATTAGGGATAAAAAAAATGGGACAAAATAATCACCAAAGGAACTCGACTAATTCACTAACACTCCCTACCAAGGTTTTTACATTACAACACTCAAAGTCAAGATACGATATCGAACACCGGATAGGATAAAGTTTAGTAAAAATTTAGACACCGAAAATTTCATTTCATAAATAATAGGGGTCAAATTGATTTACTCTCAATCTTAAAGGGCCAATTCTTATTTAACGCCTTAGCTTTGCCACCTAAAAACCGACATTTAGCTTGAAGAAACCCCAAAGCCAAAGATCAATTTTTTTTTGGACAAGAAGAAGAAGAATCACCGACGATAGACACCATGGTTTGTTCTTAGTGTTTTCCTTTAATTCCCCTTTGATTGTTTCAATTTCTTGTCAATACCCATTTTGCATTCTTGAATTTTTCTTATCAATTTTGATCTGTGTGTGTGTGTTTCAGTGTAGGTACATGCCATAATTTTACTTCTCATATGTCTAGTTGATTTGGGAACACTTCATTTCCTCTGTACAATCCTGGAAATGCTTTTTTGGGGGTGGGGGGTGATGTATGTGTGTGTGTTTTTATAGGTATTTGGCATAATTTTATCTCCATTTTGCTACTCATATATCTAGTTGATTTGGGTGTACTTCATTTACTCTGTATAATTCTGGAAATGCTCATTTGTGGGTGGGGGTGATGTGTGTGTGTTTCAGTATAGGTGTATGCCATAATTTTATCTCAATTTTACTTCTCATATGTCTAGTTGATTTGGGTATACTTCATTTCCTCTGTATGATTCTGGAAATGATCACCTGGATGGGTGTTGGGGTGATGTGTGTGTTTCAATGTAGGTGTATGCCATAATTTTATCTCAATTTTACTTCTCGTATGTCTAGTTGATTTGGGTATACTTCTTTTCTGTGTATAATTTTGGAAATGCTCATCTGGGGTTTGGGTGGGGGACTTAATTTTCTCCCATGAACTGTTTGTGTAATTGTGTCAATGAATTGGTTTGGTCTAGAACTTGAGATTATGGATGTAAAGCGGAAAATGGATTCATAAGTAGTTGTTAATGGAATTGAACTTAGCAAATTTTGAGGAGTCAGTATTGATATGATCTCCGTTTTGTTGCTCATATATCTATTTGATTTGGGTCTATTTCTTTTCCTCTGTATAATTCTGGAAATGTTCACTCTGGGGGTTGGGGGTGGGTGGGGAACTTAATTTTCTCTGGTGAACTATTTGTGGCAATGGATTAGTTTGTTCAAAAACTTGAGATAATGGGTGTAAAGCGAAAAAGTATTGAATAAGTAGTTGTTACTTGTTAATGGAGTTGAGGCTACCAAATTCCAAGGAGTCAGTATCAATTTTATCTTCATTTTGCCGAAGGCATATACAAGATTTGAGCCAAAGTTATTGTGTTTGGCTGACCTGTAACTAATTTTATATCCAATCATAATATAGCAGACCCCAAATAAGTGGGAGCGAGCCAGTGAGATACTTGATTGATTGTACTATGTGGATAAGCTGTTCATATGATTGCTGTTTGAGCCTTAATATTTAATATTGTATTGCCATGAGGTTTACAAATTTTGGGTTTTACTTTTAAGAAGTCTTCTTCTAGATATATTATGACAGAGGAAAAACTGCCCTCAATTGCACTACGTTATTAGTACTTATGAGTTCTTTCTCTCAAAATACTCGTTAGTTTGGATGCTATTAGGTGAATTATTTGCTCCGATGCATTTGGTTTCCAATTTTAGTGGTTACTCTGGACGAAGATGATTACTAGCATGCTTTTCTGTTTGCCAACAAATGGTGTTTGATCATAGAGGGCAGTTTCTTATTAGCTTTGCTCCTTGATAGTGTTCTCCTTTTTTTTCTGGTTGACGTGGGAATTTAGCTGAGAATTTCAGCATAATAGGTTATGAATAGACAAATCTCTGAGCTTAGAGTTAAGCATAGATTGAGCCCAACCAGTTAGGTAGTGCTACCCGAGGTCGACTGGATATTCTATTGCTTGTTTTTCTGGATTAAAGAAAATACAAGAACTCCAATTCCTTCTTAAGTTGAGAAAGGAACCTCAACAGCAACAATTACTACTATGACTCAATCAAGTTGGGCTCGGCTATATGAATCTCTTCTTCTTCATTTAAGCTCATGTCAAATCATCATCGCTTTAAATAAATAAAGTGAAATATAAGTTTCATATATATACAAATAAGTATATATATACAAATAATAATAATAGTAATAATAATAATAGAAGTTCTCTAACAAACCTAGAACGTATTCTCAACTAGTAGATATCATGTATCTGGATCTTTTTCTTCCAGTGTGCCCTATATTTAGCTAAAATTTTTATATTGATGCCAAGTTTGCATTGATACCTAGGTTTTGTAGGTCTTTCGAGACAACTTCCTTGTGATTTTAGGTCTACCACGTGCTGTTTTAACACCTTCACTTACCATAGTTTTACAAAGAAGCAACTATTGTTTGAGTACTTGCAAGCCTTGGGTTGAGTGGTTAAGGAGATGGCTTAGTTTAGGATGCTTGACAACTTCTCGGCGTAACCCAATTTTTATGTTTCAGTATGTGCATGTATTTTACCAAGTAAATGCACATTATGCATATACTCTTCATAAATGGATCTTTACTCATTCAAGGGTAATACATACATGAAGAAGAATGGAGAAGAATGATTTAAGTGCAATTAGCAGAAAGATTATGGCTTGATGTACCGTTGGAAAGAGCAGGAGGACTCCACTTTATCTAAATTTCAATGCTGCCAATTTATTTGTCCATGATCACCTTTTCAGACAAACACAAGAGAGAGAGGGAGGACTATAGTCCATCTGGTCGGAGCCTCTGAGTACACCTCCTTCTTCGAAGCTTGCTTTATAATGTTATGTACTTATGTCAAATGTCAATACACAGAGTGAGAAGACAATTGAACTTTTTTGGAGGTGATAAATAAGATGAATATACTTATATATATGGGCAGAAAATGCCTGGAAGTAAACATTAAAATTTTCCTTTAGACAAATATAAGTATTTATTACATGATTAGTATTAGTGTTACTTTCTTGTTTATGATCACTATGTAAGTCTGGCAGAGCAAGTATGAGTGGCAATCACCAGGGGTTTATACAATAAATATGGCATTAAGCTAATATTTGCCAATCTTCACAAAGCCGAACTCTTTTGGAAGTTACACTGTTGGGACAAATAAATTGTTGACTGTTTGTTTGTATTATCACCAGACTCAAAAACAATGAAAATATGCAAATTAAGATGGATATAACCTTCAAAAAACCAAGGAACGACATGCCACATGGATGATGGATCTAGATAATAGCATATAAACCTAAAAACTAATGGAACCACTACCGAGTATAATAATATCTTAGCGTGTATTTGAACATCAACTAGAAGCATAGGTAACTTCAAAGAGAATGTGACGCTGATGGATTATTTCCATACTGTAAATCAATTTGGTTCTTTAATCTCTCTTTTCTCTATGCAGGCAATGTATATCCGTGTGAAGCGTAATAAGACCACCTACTTTATTCAATGTGACCCAACTGAGACAATTCTACAAATGAAGGAGAAATTGTCTAACCTCATAGATCAACCTGCTAATGATCAGCAATTAGTCCTGATGCCTGCTGGAGATGTGTTGGAAGACTCGAAGTCCCTAGCTGATCAGAAGGTAAATTTTGTCCATACTTATCATCATCATTTTTCATGATATCATATGATCTGTTGGTACAATTAGAAAATATAATATCGTCTATAGTTTGGGTAATCAGCAGATTTTGAGTCTCTTTTTATCAATTGTATCCATACAGATACAGATTCTACTTCTATTGCCAATGACCTGTCCAACTTTCCCTTTTGGTCTGTTCTAAAACTGGCAACCACATAATTGAAAACAAATTGTACTTCTTTTAAACTTTTCAATACTCTTTTTAATATCATATTAACAGCAATACACATTATTAGAGCTCTTTTAAGGGATCAACCGGTAAATGGGATGGAGAACGGCTATTTACATGTGAGGAATAACCTTTCATTTCTTGTTTCTTTTTGGTGACCCATGAAGTCCTTGTGTGTATAAAAATTGGGTTTCTTTTTGGATGACGGTAGTGTCTAGGTCAGCTTCCACATACTTTGATTATTCCATTAGGTACCGGATACTTCTCACCAATATTGATACCATGTATCCACCCACCAAGACTTAGGCAGATGGAAGTACTTCTGTAGAAGATTGGGGTTGTTCATAGAGGATCATATTATGTTCTTCATCAAAAAAGGATCATATTATGTTGTAGATTCTCTACCTTTTGGCGCCGTTTTTCCCCACTATTGGTAAACTTGTTCACCTTACTAAGAAAATGAGCTCTTTTAACTTTACATGTACATTGTAACAGGATAATTGTGTTTTCACACTCAATTTACATCCATTTTAGATTAATGTTATATTCCTACTTTGATACCCCTATGACATCTATAATGTGATGGAGAGAGTCACATGAGTATACGTCGATAACAAGAAATAAGTCCATGAGGTTCATGAAGTATTTTTCTCAAGCAGATTATCTTTACTTATTTATATAATCCAAGTTTATGGCATTATTTGTTCTTTTTTAATGTTTTTGAACACTTTCCAGGTTGAAAATGACGCTGTGGTGGCGCTGACTCTGAGAAAAGGTTCTCATCCCTGTTGCATTTGTCTTTTCCCAGTTTTAGTGGATATTTCTGTAGTTGATTAGCTGATAATTTTGTTTCGTAAATCAATTTGTTTGTTCTTGACTGCCTCTAATTCATCTCCTCATTCCCCAAATGTACTTTTATGTTACTTCCAAAGAATCGCTGGTGGGCAAGAAATGCTCAAGATGAATGAACTTTTGTTTCGTGTGAATAATCATTGGCTATCTGTGTCTCTAGCTTTGGTGGGACTCATTTCTTATCTCGATTAGAAATGCCTTACTCAAGAATCACCCTAGAGAAATCCTAGGGAAATCAGCCACAAAAGCTGATAGGTATAGATTTGGGAAGATATACCATAAGAATGTGTGGTAATCCATGACAATAATGAAGAAACAAAATTAACACCAAGGTTTACCTTGAATAATGGACCCAAGATATTTGAAGCTTTCCCTTCTGGGTATGACTAGTGCATTGATCTTCACTTCCACCTCCTCTCATGCGGGCATGTAAGTTAAATTAAATGAATATATAGGAGTTTCATATGTGGGATGCAACTGCAATTCACATGGAAAGGATAGGCTGTGAAGTATTTTAATTCAACAAACGCGAGTGGAGGTTGGTGATGTCATGGATGACCTAAAGGAGATTGACCTTATTTCAATGGAAATACTTAGTAAGGGGAATCACTGAATCAACATTATGGAGAAAGGGTTATTAACTGAACAAAATACAAAGAAGAGCCTAGCTCATTTTAGGTGAACTGGAAAGAGGCCTGATAAGCTGGTAGATTTATCCTTGTTACTTCGTGATGGCCAAGTGGAGTACACTTTCCTTGCTTTCTCATTATCACGAGCTTCCAAATTGTTATAAATATGTTTGTAGCATCTGTTCAAGGAGATTAATCTTCCTTTTAAACTTCAAGGAGTTTAATGTCGAGTAAGAAACAAATCCTTAGGTAGGTGGGAAGTCTATTTAAGAGTTTTCATTTTTTTGAGAATTAGTACTGTTGTATTCTTCAGCATTAGAAATGCTGTCCACCATCTGAAACATGTTACAGGGGAGTGAGATTCAAATCTAAACTTTACAAAGTACCTAGGAAATCAACCAACTCCTCAACTTCCTCTATTCAGTTTTGTTTACAGCAAAAAAATAAGGTTAGTTTTAAAGTGTTATGGGTTTTGGCGCATTAATTTTAAGTGAATTCTTTGTTCATCACTACCCAAAATGAAAATAAGGAATTATCAACACAGTGAAAAAGAAAAGAAGACCTATCTAAGTGGAAGTGAGGGAGTACTAGCTATTTATATTTAGGTCTGAGTAAGGAAAACATTGAGTGGAGTGGATGATTGGAATAGCTGCATATACTTTTTTGTACTGACAGGAAATGATAGTGCATGTGCTTATTTGATTTGGATTAACTGGAATACGGCAAAAATGTAGTTTATTATTAATACTATGAGAACGTAGGAGAGATATTGGGAGAAACGTGTCTTTACAAAGTGTATAATTTTGAAAGTAAAATTAAGAATAGGAAGAAAGGGTGGAAGGGAAAAGACAGAATCGAGTTCTTTCTTTCAAGAGGAGGGCATGTGATGCCTAACACCGGTTTCCTTCACTATAAATGCTCCTCTTTCTTGTCCTTTGCAGCCTCTTTAAAAGCTTCCTGTTTGTTCTGTTTATTCCCATTCATCCATATCTCAGAATATCAGCATTAAGTATTCATTGACTAGACAAGCATAAACCTCCATAGTTTGCTTTAGGACTTGATCCTATCTTGGTACCGAAAGTGTCACGACCCAAGCCCATGGCACATATTGTCCGTTTTGACCTACAGGCCTCATGGAATTCTCCCTTGGGCTACGTCATCATCGAGCCCAAAAGAGGCCATACCATATGAACTTGTGGTATGTCTTATAGAACTCTTCATTTTCCTCTACCATTTCGATGTGGAATTCGCTGAAGGTAATATGTGCACTCCTTCAGAAGCTTGGCAGCCTAGAAACCTGCCAATCCTTCTATGTGACTCGCCCTCCATCATGAGCGTCACAGGAACCATTTGAACTTCTATCTAGTCTTGATCCTATCTTGGGACTGGAATCTTTTGAACTTCTAGTGGCAATGCAAGCATGCAGCCTCACATGTCCAAAATTACAAGAAAACCGGTAGTGCTTTTGATTGTTATGGTGATTTTGAGGTTAAACTTGTTTAGCTTTTTGGTTGTGATCTTCATGTCCCTCCCAAGAGCTTTTCAATTTTTGAAAATTTGCATTTGATTTTATACTATTCTGTTCTAACTTTTAGCTTTACGATATGCATTTTGGTCAATCTTTGCGCATTATAACTGTGCATCTTTCCTGCTTTTAGATGACAATGAATTCGAGGATGTGAATATCGTGAAACCAGATGATGAATTTTAGCAGCCTCACGATTCAGATGGTGGTGCAAATCGGTGACAACGTACATTCTGGGAACATCTAATCCTCAACAAAGATCTGTATACTTGTAAACTGGCAATTGATTGACCTGCATCTGGTTCTTCTAAAATACTCAGATAGCCTTGAGTTTCATGCTGTAGGAAAGTTTCTGATATCGTCGCGGTTCTGTTTAGCAATATACTGTTCAAGAGAACTACTTTTTATGATTTTTGCAATGACAAGAGCTCTAAGATTCAGACATAGTGCATCAACAACTTTTTTTAGTAGGATTAAACTTTTCATGGATGTATGAAAATTGCTGGCCAAGTGTGTGATTTGTCAGCTGTACTTTTTAACTTAAAAAGTTGTAACCCCCGGATATATGGTGCAATCCATCCTTAACCTAAGGTATCAGGTTCAAACCTCGTGAATAGAGAAATATCTAGTAGATTAGTAGGGAGTCCTCCCTCTTAATGGGCTCTATGTGACGGTTATACACTTACTTCATTCAGCATTTATACCAAACTAAGGATAATTAAACAATACTCATTTTCACCTAATTACTTACTAAGTAACCATGTTAAATTACATTGCTTTGGTGTAAACATAGTATGGATAAGTTTCTACCTGATGGATATGCGTATCTAAATTAGTCGAACCGGATATCGGCTCCTTCGTGATTAATCCCCATACCCCCACCAAAAATAGAAGAAACTTAAGATGTAAATTCCATTGTCAATATTAACTTGTAAGCTTATATAGCATAATCATGTTCTAATCAATGATTAACGAATTTGATTGATGTAAACTTATCATAACCCCCAAATATGATATTTCCTCCCACTAGGACAACCTTAGCCACAAAAGCAACATCACATATCCTTCAAAAATATCCACTTCTTCTTCCACGTGGACCAATCACAAAACAGAAACCAGTCTCTTTAGCCAATAACAATCAAAATTCAGATTTGCCTATATCTCAAACTCCCTCCTTATACACTCCACAATTACACCAATTTTTTTTCATTCTCATATCCATTTTCTTCTTTCTTCTCTACTCATATCCAACTTTTTTTGTACATCTTTTAATTACCAAAAAAAAAAAAGAGGAAGAAGAGATGGCTTCTAATACATTGATGAGTTGTGGTATTCCAGCTGTTTGCCCCTCTTTTCTCTCTTCTTCCAAGTCCAAATTCGCCGCGGCGATGCCGGTGTCCGTCGGAGCTACCAACTCCATGTCTCGATTCTCCATGTCCTCCGATTGGATGCCCGGGCAGCCCCGTCCATCCTACCTCGATGGCTCAGCCCCCGGGTAAGTAGTAGTACTCCCTTCGTTTCATTTTATGTGATGATGTGTGATCTGACACAATATTTAAGTCGTTAGTTATATAAAGTTGGATAACTTAATGGTTTTTAATTTTTGAAAGTTATGATGGTTATATAAGTAGAATTAACGTCAAACATTTTGAAACGTATAAATTTGTATTACTATTATTATGCAAGTTTTAATTTGTAAATATATAAATGCAGAGATTTTGGATTTGACCCACTTGGTTTTGGAGAAGTACCAGAAAATTTGGAAAGATACAAAGAATCTGAACTTATTCATTGCAGATGGGCTATGCTTGCTGTTGTAAGCTTCTTTTTCTCTACTATAAAGCTTAGTCTTTATACGTTATATCTTGAACACTCTTAACGAAATTCCTTGTTTACAATTTTTGCAGCCCGGAATCCTAGTACCAGAGGCATTGGGCTTAGGCAATTGGGTCAAGGCCCAAGAATGGGCAGCCATTCCTGGAGGACAAGCTACATATTTGGGCCAGCCTGTTCCATGGGGAACACTTCCAACTATTTTGGTTATTGAATTTTTAGCCATAGCCTTTGTAGAGCACCAAAGGAGTATGGAAAAAGATTCAGAAAAGAAGAAGTACCCTGGTGGAGCTTTTGACCCATTGGGTTACTCTAAAGACCCTGCTAAATTTGAAGAACTCAAAGTCAAGGAAATCAAGAATGGTTAGACTATTAACTCACTCCTCTTGACGGATTTTAAGTTATATATGCTGACAATATCAATCTCACTTTTTATGAATGATTATCTGTGGTTAGGTCGTCTTGCATTGTTGGCATTTGTGGGATTTTGTGTACAACAATCAGCATATCCAGGAACAGGACCATTGGAGAACTTGGCAACTCACTTGGCTGACCCATGGCACAACAACATTGGGGATGTTGTTATCCCTAAAGGCATTTTCCCTAATTGAATTGTACCATCATATATATTAGCCAAAAACACCTTGTAAAACTCTCCCATGTACTAATAGATTTCTAATGGAATGGACTTTTTGTGTATCCTTAGTCTAGTAGTTGTTGTTTGGTAAAGAGGTTCAAATATTGCTATAGGTGTGGCGTGGCGCTATGAATTCCTGGCTCCGACACTGAGAGGAACATCGTTATTGTTAAATACTTGGAAATTTTTTGATATTCAAACCGAAATCATAAAAAGAAAATCACTTTGGTATATTTTGGCACATGAAACACACTCAAATATTATTGGTACTTCACAAATATACGAACTCTCACCAAACAAGAATAATGCTCATCCTCACACTTCTCTCTCTAAGGCTGAACTTTGCCCATGGACTACAACAAATGCAAAGAATAGATGCAGGCACATCCTGCATTGGGTTAATCAATACAACATTATAGATGCCAAGCATCAGCTAACTACACTAGCTGGTGAAAGGAAACTGGCATGCAAAGGAACCTTGTTCGAAGCAACAATCTCGTTGCAGTGTCCCCCTCTAGCTCCATCAACGACTAGATGGATGTGTCCTGGAGTAGAGCTTTCCGTAGGAACCAGTTCCCTAGCTGCAACTGTTTTGAGCCGAAGTCGTTCTGCCCTTGAGCCTATCACTTGCCCCAGAACAGATGCTCCAATGGTAAACGCCATAGCCGCTTTAGGCATCAAAATGGACTTCCTCAGAATGGCTATGAATGGCACAGCTGCATGTACAGCTGCAAACCAAGATGGTGAAAATTTTTCAGTGTGTTCTCTCCATACGCCTAAAGGAATATTTGCTGCCATGCCCAAAACACCAATCACTAATACTTTTGCAGGCAAAGGTTGTGGTCGCAAGTTTTTCGCAAAGGCTGTCCGTGATAGAGCAGCTCGGGCAGCTACTATAGCAGGGGGGCACTTGAGTTTCACACCAGGAGGGGGCTGAAAAACCTTTGCTACAAGAGGAAGGACAGTACTTACAGCACGGTACGACTTCGCAATAGGACAATTCCCATTCTGCAACCACTCATTGCTTAGTGCTTCATGTTCTGAATCTCCTCCCTGATAGATCCAAAATGATGGTTAGCAAGAACAATATGACTGAGTTTTGGTTATTCTATCAATTATGAAAAGTTTCTCAAGTCCACCAACAATCATATTTCAAGAGTTGTACGAAAATTAACAATTTTGACATATTGCTATCAAGAAGTCAAATAAAGTGTTTCACTGGACCATGAACATTTGACAAAGTCATATTTCAGAAGTTGCAATGAAATTCAACCGTTTTGACATATTGAGAAATTTGGGAGATACAAAACAGAAAGGAAATGGCTCAAACCTGTCTTTTGGATGACTCAGACTTCTTCTTTTGATTCTTCCACTTCTCAGAGAATGAATCAAAACCAAATGGTCCTCCAAATCCAAAAGATGAGAGACTTATGGTAGCTGCCTTTGCCACCAAAGGGTTGAAATGACGAGCTGCAGGTTCAGGATCTGGTTTCTCATTCGTAATGGACAGTCTCCCAGAAAGTGGGACAGCACCATTCTGGCCATGGAAAAGCCTGAATGCCATGTCAAAGTTAGGACCATCCTCGAAGATAGGACCTTTTCCTCCACGTACCTGATTCAGGTGCAGCAGCTATCATGAGAAAGACTTCACATCAATTTAGAATGACAGGGACATGGTCACCCCACCAATGTGGCAGACAAAAATGAGAGGCCTTAGCAGGATTGATTCAGCAACATGCAAACTATTTTACAAAGATGCAAAGAAAAGTTCTTCTGCATATAAGTGATCAATTAACAACTTACTGGAATGGGAAAACCAATGGGGCTTGAGAAGGAAAAATTAGTTGGCTCATTGATATTCGTCAAAAATGGGCACCTAGCAATGTCTTGCTGGAAACCTGAAGAGTCATCACTTGTATTCCTAGAGAAAAAATCCATTTTACTGGAAGAAGGATGACAAAGACAAAAATCAAAATAAATTTGAGCAACAGAATCTTCAAGAGACAATTAACAAAGCAAGCATGAGGACAAGGAATCACAAGCCAACCACTTTTTGATAATATCAACATTAAGGAAGTCCAGAAAAGAGTCCAGCCGTTGATATATATATATCTTGAAACCGGAATACTATATATAAGGTTCGCGTTCATGTATACAATTCTTATAAACAGGAGTTTTGACCTAGTAGTCTTAAATCTCAATAAACTTTGATTACCAGTTTTCATCAGCAAGTCTTTTAACCAAAATATTCAAAAAGAAGCTCAACCATTTGTTAAGCCAACCTAATACTTCCAAAGAATGAATACAGATCAAATATCAGCTCAAACACAAAAATCCATTTGCAATATAACAACACCAATAACTACTATGACCTAATCTTAAACTAATTGGGGCCAGCTGTATGAATCCTCCATATCCCTTTTGCTCCATTTGGACCCCTTTTCATTTCCAATATCAAAGATTTGTCTTTTAAGCAAAACCCATTAATAAAAAGCAATAAGAATCAATACCCAGTTCCCAAATTCGACCAACAACTTAAATCAAACAAAACACTGTAATCACCCAAACAAAATAGCTAAACAGTAACTGTAGCCAAAAAAAGAGAAAAACAAACAATTCTCAGATTGAAGTACAACACTCTGTATGCAATTATGCAATTCATACATCAATACAGATCAAATTTCAGCTCAAACACAAAAACCCATATCCAATATAACAAAACAATAACTACAAAAATAAACTCCAAACTCATTGAAGTTAGCTATACCCAATTAGACCCTTTTCATTCCAATATCAAAGATTCAACTTTTAAGCAAAACCCATTACTAAAAAACACTAAAAATCAATACCCTTTCAGCTCAACAACAATAACTCATTTCCAATATAACAAAACAATAACTACAAAAATATACTCCAAACTCATTGAAGTTAGCTATACCCAATTGGACCCTTTTCATTCCAACATCAAAGATTCATCTTTTAAGCAAAACCCATTAATATAAAACACTAATAATCAATACCCAATTCTCAAATTCAACCAACAACTTAAATCAAACATTAAAAAAACACTGAAACTACCAAACAATTAAATCTTGATACATTGAAATTAAACAAAAAAAACCGTACCTCAAGACAGAAAAAACT